AAATATATAGTGATTTTGGTTGGAATCGTGCAATAGGTTTCGCTTTGGAGCATTTTATAATATTGGCCAGGGAAAGAAAGACGTAACCCCGCTATCAAAAACGAAAAGGGAGCGTATCAAGCTCACATCCATTTGCAGAATACACGCCGTCGTCGAGTGCGTCGCCTGGGGATTTCTTCGAGTAACAGGCCAAGACCTCACTTTGAAAAGGCAGATGGGCCTCAGAAAAAATCCCTTTTATTTCAGCAAGATCCGCTTCCTCACGCTGCCTATGAGACTTGGACACTTCCAAAGAATGCGAGTCAGCATGTGGAAACGGACGCAAAAACAACATCACAATCGAAATCCCGTTCCAACCACGATTTTGTATTACATTTACATCAATAAATGCCTCAATTGGAACCCGCACAATGCCAAACCCTAATTCGTAAGCAGCCAATTGCAGTTTTTTGTAACCATCAGGTATACGCATGAAGTGGGACAAAATCGCTAGACGTGGAGCCAAGGAGCCACCATCCTTCCCACTACAGGCTGCATCCCCAGAGTATTGTAGAAGGCATTTGCAAGTCGTGAGAAGCAGTTTAATATCGACCCGATAATACAGTAAATCAGATCCCAACACCATACGCACACCTCCATTTTTTTGGCACCTCAAAGACTTCGAAAGCTGCTCTATGAGAGAAATAAGTTGTATTGTGTCTTCCTTACGCCACTCCAACGGACACGATACTACGGCACGATGCATATGGGTCCCTAAGTTCCCGGTGAAATTATTAGCATCAGCCTGTATCATCGGTAAACCATGCCTTCTTGCACTCGCAGCGACCAAATTAAGGCAGTCAACTGAAGCATCCGTAAACATCACTGAAACTTCTGGAAAAAGCTCAGTTGCCGTAAACCCAACCAAGCCACAGCCACAACCCAATTCTACAACCCAGGGATTCGCATCACCACACGTGGAATGCTCAGCTGTGTGCGGCAGCAAATCCCTCCCAAATCTAGCAAGAAAGGCAGCAAGTACTTGTGCGCCTCCGTAAACCCGGAGGCCTGTTGAGCATGGCGAATTATAGTTGTCATTTCCCTGCTTGTCCTGTGTCTTCGTACATCGAATGTAATGATTCCTCGCCGTGGCACAAGCGAGATCAAATTTTAGTGATGGGGCCCCGTTTGCCGCAGTAATCACCTCAAACTCTTCATAATGCATGTGCTAATGTGATGACTAAACCAGGTAAAGAAAAAATAAAATTTCAATTTTTATCAGTTCTACAGTAGCAAGGCATTTTTTTTTTATCATACGTATATAATAGACAAAAAAGACCTAACCAGACACACAATGAATGAGCCTATAATTTTCCTTTGATTTTACCTTCACTTTCGCCCAGGAGCTAGTTCTTAACCAGTTGCCAGCATGTTACTCCATTTTCAGTCGGATCATCGTGATTTGCCGCTTAATGTAAAAGTAGTAAAAGATAAGCCCAATAACGATAACTAAGAAACACAAAAACAGCAACCCAAAAACCTGAGCAACCACCACATCTACCTCCTTCTTAAGGGGAAACAGTCGAAACTTTCGGCTCACATTGCTTGAGGAAACTTCTAAAGCAAGGGCAGGCGATGCAATATACACAGCCACCCAACACAAAAGCGACGCTCGGAGAAAACGGCTCATGCAATAATAGCAACCTAGTTTACTAAAAACAAAAAAGGAGGAGGAAAATAGGAAAATTCACCACCCAATTGCCAGGGAGTGACTCAGTTTATTCCGCAAAGTAATCCATCCCATACGGAACACGGTGGGAAAAACACAATCACAGTAAAAAAAAAACATACTAACCACACACTTCAATCCCAGGGGGGAAAAGAAAAAAAACGCGCATACCAACAACATCTGAAAGAGTCCTTTTTTTCTGGAGTAAAGCAAGCATGGGAGAAAACGCCCCGGCGCAGATCCCCACCACAACCCGTAAAAAAAGCAGTCGCCTCAGAAACCTGACCTACTCCGAAACTCTTTTCTGCCAACCAGAATCCCCACACGAGAGGCACGAAAAGCACACCACCACAACACGTATTTGCCTTCTCTTTTAACTCGCGCCGCGCCGCCCCCGCCCCTCGCGGGCGCGCGTTTCCCCGATGAATTTAAACAAGCAGCGGCCGAACACTAACAGAAGAAGTAAATGTTGCGCCTTCATCCCCGCCATGCGTTCGCGAATCCCCTTCTACGCAGACAAAAATACAACCCCCGCACGTGCGCGCCACCTGACATTCCCAGTGCTTCGGCAAGCCCCTCCCAGGGGGTAATCGTTCTCTCGCGCCTGCTGCTGCCAGAGTCGCTGCCATCCCAAAGATGAAAGCAGGCGCATCAAACAACAAAAAAGATTCTACACCAAACCCGCGGCCGTCCAATAAGTATGGCGCGGGCGTCCCATAACTCGTATGACTTCTTTCACACATATTTCGCCAGCTTCACCGCCAGCTGACTCAAAAACCGGCCGGCACATCGTCACCCCAGGATCGAGCACCCACTCCCACAACCTCCTTTCTTCGACAACCAAAAATCGCGCCATTCTACAACGCACTTTTTCTTCACGCCGCAGCGGCTCTGCATCGGCACGTGTAGCTTTATCACTCTTCTGAGGGGGTTGCGGCAGCCGCATTTTCGCCCTCGTACGAAGATGCAAAAAATTGGATCCGAGTTCTTTCGTCGGATCCGCTTCCTCCCCCGAGACGCTGCCGACGCGAAGAAATTCCGATTCACTTTTTATTGGTCACGCCGCGCCTCGTCCAAACGGGGGTGCGAAGAAGAAGCGGCGCAAAGCAAGCCATAAAATGAGCCCACCACCACATCCAGCGGGGTGGCGG